TATATATCACAGCATAGGACAATGGCAGCATAGTTGCCTGTCCTCAACAATGGAGCACCGTCAGCTGGCCTCACTGATCTACGGGGCAGAGGACACTAAAGCAGAAACTACTGGATAGGGTCTACCTTGACTGGTGAAAGCGCTGGTCTTGGTTTCTTTTTTTTTCTTTTCTTTTTTTTTTAAGCTTTATTTATGGGCTCAGAGGTTAAGAGCACTGGCTGTTTTCCAGAGGTTCTGAGTTCAGTTCCCAGTAACCACATGGTAGCTCACAACTATCCATAATGAGATCTGGTGTCCTCTTCTGACCTGGAGGCAGAACACTGTATACATACTATATAAATAAATCCTTTTTTTTAAGATTTATTTATTCCATGTATGTGGATATACTGTTGCTGTCCTCAGACACACCACAAGACGGCATAAGATGCCTATTACAGATGGTTGTGAGCCACCATGTGGTTGCAGGGAATTGAACTCAGGACCTCTGAGAGAACAGTCTATGCTTTTAACTGCTGAGCCATCTCTCCAGCCCTGGTCTTGGTTTCTTAACATTCTGCCTGGATAAAAGTTTTGACTGGCCCTTGAAATAACTTTCTATGGTTTTTTTTTGTTTTCTTTTTGTTTGTTTGTTTGTTTGTTTAGGTTTTTTCGAGATAGGGTTTCTCTGTGTAGTCCTGGCTGTCCTGGAACTCACTCTGTAGACCAGGCTGGCCTCAAACTCAGAAATCCACCTGTCTCTGCCTCCCAAGTGCTGGGATTAAAGGCATGTGCCACCACTGCCCAGCTACTTTCTATGTTTTTGTTTGTTTGTTTTTTGGTCTCAGTCTCTCTCAGCTGGTCAGCAGCTTCTGGATCTCCCCAGGGTAACAGAGCCCTAGCAACTGACAGTACTTCCCAAAGACATACATACCCAGGCCTTTGGAATGGGGTCCACAGAGCATTCTGCCTGTGGTGTAGGAAATGCAATGGGGAAAATGGTCTGGACCCTTGAAGAAACAACAGATATGCATGCAAGTAGCTACTTCTTGGAAATGGGTCAGAGCTCACAGAGAACACTCCAGGGATGCAGTTCAGTGATGAAGTGTCTGCTTTGATGTACAAAGGCTTGGGTTCAACTCCTTCACAAAAATCTCCTGAACCAGTCTGAGGGTAGAATGGTAAATATTATGGACTGGGGTGCACATGGACCTTCTGGTCTTCACCTCTTGGACATGAGGGGTTCATGCAGATCCTAGCAAGATCCAGAAGGATTTTTTTGACCCAGCAGTTTGTCCATGTTAGCCCCCTTATCTTACTCAATCCTTACTGAGACACCAGGGGGTGTAGATACTGGTAAATCATTCCTTATGAAGTGAGTACTTGCTCCTATTATGGAGTTGTGTTGGCCCCCTACCACTGTACAAGTTGCATTTGTCTCCTTACAATTTCACAGTCTGGCTCTGCTCAGGGTCTTAAAAGCCTGAAATCAGAGTATCCCCCAAGTCTGGTGGGCCACTTTTAGACCACCAAGATCACTACAGAATCTCATTCCTCCAAGCTGTAGAGATCAAGATATTTTGTCTTGGCTGCAGACTAGGACTTCCAAAGGCCACCCTCAGACCTTGCCCTGTTGCCCACCCAGTGGGACTCTTACCCCTAGGTAGAGGGAGTAGCTACTGGAGGGAGTTGCTCTTTGCATCTGCTCCGCTAGATGCTTTGTCACCGGTGCAGGGACATTCTCTCACTTTTTAATGTTATGCAGCCTGACCAAGTATGCATATGACTATGCTGCTCACAGTCACACAGGGGACTTTATGGTGCAGAAACCAATGTCCATAGTCTTGGGGATTCTTAGAATTAGACTAACCATGAAGACTTGATAGGGACCATTTTCACCATTTCCTTGTCTGTCCGTGGCAGCTCTAACCACCTCGGTATTTTAATGTGCCATCAGGCCTCTCGTTATCCAGATGGCCCAGAGACCTATTCTCGTGGCATTTATTTTAAGACAGGTTCATCTGACTGATGGTGATATCCTGCCTCAGCCTCTTGAATGCTGAGGTAACAGGCATGTGCTACCATGCCTATCCCACTTCTGTTATTTAGAAATGATTGTAAGAGGTGGTCTAGTGGCTAAGACTGTTTGTTGCTCTTCCAGAGGACCCAGGTTTGATTCCCAGCACCAAAAAGCAGCTAACAACTACCTGTAGCTCCAGTTCCAGAGGATCTAATGCCCTCCTTTAGCCTCTGAGGGCACTTCATGTAGTACACATACATATAGATGACACAAACAACCATAAATATTTTTTAAATGATCATAAGCCAGGTGTAGTGGTGCATGACTTGAATTCTAGTACTCGGTAAGTGGAGGCACGTAGATCTCAATAAATTGAAGTCCAGCCTGGTCTACATAGTGAATTCCACAGCAGCCAAGGCTATGTAGAGACCCTTTCTCAATCAATCAATCAATCAATCAATCGATTATAAAAGGTAAGTATGCTGGTCTGTCAATAGGGCAGGGACTGGTATATCCATCTAGTTTAGCACTGAATCTTGAGTGCTTGGTATACAGTGGGTGTTTGGTAGGTGCTGGATGAATAAAGACCAATGTGGATCTTTATGGATGATTAACAGTGGATGCATAAGCAACTCAGTTTGTGCCTATGTCTGGTCTAATTATATTACTTTCGACCCTAAGAAGCCTGTGGTGGGGGAGTTGGGCTTGCCTGAATCTCTGGTCCTGTGGTTTTTCGCCCCAATGAGCCTGGCTGCCTGGAATGTCCAAATCACCAGGAACAGGAGCCAACAGCAAATTCTTAGTCTTTGTGCCTAGTGGACTGGCTGATACCCCTTGTCTGGCCACACCCCTAAGCCCTAGGTCTAGGGCTCTGGATTGGCTGAGGCTTGGACATGAAGTCAGTGGTTTTGCTTTGTCCTGATCTGTTTTCTTCCTAGAGGGACAAAAATTCTAGGTGGGTCTGGGAAGCAAGGGACAAGGGGAAGGGAGCCAGGGGCTCCACAGCATAGATAGGGACGGAGTCGCTCATGCTTTTAACTACGGGAGGGGCAGGTGGCTTGGTTAGCAGCCCAGGCTGCCTGCTTGGCTTCAGTTTTCATCTGTGGCTATTTCCTGCTTAAGGATGTGGTGGTGGGGGGGTAGTTGGAAGAGGGCAAACAGACTTCTGCTGTCCATTGTGACTCCTCTGTCCTGAAGCAGAGGATAAGATGGGGAAAGTGTTGGTCAAGGGTCCACATGCATGTCTCTGGGGAGTCTCCCATAGATATATCAGCATCTGGCCTGTGACCTGAAAATAGGTTATTGGGATTTGCAGTTTCTGAGAGTTGCTCAAACCTCAAGTGGAGCCCTGAGATCAGGGAGTCTGCAAAGAGATGACCTTAGCAGAGGTATAGAACAGATTCCTTCTAGTGCCTGTTCCTCGGTCCTCTACCTAGAAATGTGTCTATCCATCACTTCCTGGACACTTTCCCTCCATGAGAAGAAGCAGGATAAAGGGCAGCCTGGGACAACCATGGGAGAGTGGAGAGGGGAGACAGAGATCAGCGGCAGAGGTCAAGACGGAGAGTGTGGGGCAGAGGCAGACACTGGAGCAAGTAAGGCAACACCATTTAGAAAACATAAGGGAAAGCCAGAAAGGGAGGATTGGGGGATGGCCTGCTGGGTAGAACTTTTTTTCCAGAATAAAAGTCCCAGGGAAGAGCTGGGGGCCAAGTTCATGCTCTGCCTGGCCCAGATCCCGGAGAGGAGATGGCCCCTTAAGTCCTGAGGGGCTTCCTAGAGCCTCACAGCTGGTCCTCCCTGTTGTCCCCTCCCCTCCAAGAGCCAGCTAGGCTGAGGTTCTAGCTTGGCTGAGGACTTGGGGACCCCACCCCAACCCGCAGGGATAGGGCCTGTACCGATTATATCCAAAGAGGAGGCCTAGACTAGTTAAGGGCTTCTGTGGTTTTCTTGGATTCTTTTCCTTTCTTGTTCTGAGGTTTGCTTAACTAGTAGGAGCAGGCTGGTACACAGTGCTACTCTGTTATTTCCCATTTGTTTATATGACTTTGTTTTCCCAGGGCTTCAAATTTGTGCTTTCTGTTGAGAGAGTTCCACTCCCCTTTTCTCTAAGTGGAGGTTTCCCAGATCACAGTAATCCAGTCTCAGCTTCAGGACTCTAGGGTTTGCCTTAAGAAGGTGGACAGCCCCAGTCATCAGGTCATGAAAGAAAGTCTGAGCAAACTCACACTCCGTCCTCAGTGTCCAGAGTTCCTATTGTTCACTTCCCTGTTTGGCTGTTCTCTGTTCTGTTTGAGAAAGGTAACATCATTGCAGCTGTGGCTGGTCTGGAACTCACTATGAAGACCGAGTTTGCCTTAAACTCAGAGATTCACCCACCTCTGCCTCCCAAGTGCTGAATTAATGGTGTGAGCCAACATGCCTTACTGAATGATTGGCTGTTCTTGATCCTAAAGATAACTGGACCACATTGCCATCATGTTGTCCCCAGGGAGCTCACTATGGTCCCAGAGAAGGGCATAGTAAAACCATTTTCAGCTAAAGTGAAATTGGAAGCCACCCAATCTGGCAGGGAGAGTACAAGAACGGAGAAAGAAGCCCAGGTTCTCTGGCCTGGCTGATCACATAGGAGAATGTCAGAGCAGGGGATGCAGATCATTCACCCTCAAATACCAGTTCTGCTGAAGCTCAGGAAGTTTACCAGATGCTTGGCACCCACATGGCCTCAGGAATCTTCACATCCAGGCCTCCTCTTCTGTCCCAGGACTGAGCCACTGCCCCTCCCCAGGACTGACCAGTGACTGGCCGAGCGTCTACTCAGACCCTCCCACCAACTGGGCCCCCGACAGGGAGTCTGCAGCATTATAGGCCAGTCAAGATGGGGGAGGCTAAGCAGTAGAGCAGCGCAGTGGGTGGGGCGCAGGCCCGGCCCAGGGCTCCGTGATGTCAGCGGGTGCTGGCAGGGAGAGGGGGTCGGCTGTTTTTCTGGGGAGTTAGAGCTGAGTAAGACAAAGCACGGTGCCGTCCCGGCAGGCGCAGGCGCCATGGAACTGCTATCCTGTGTCCTGCTGTGGAAACTGGTGCTTCTTCAGAGTGAGTGTGAGAGTGGGACTGGGTGTGGGGCAGAGAGTGGGTTTAACTGTCTGGGTTTAGGTTGGGAGGGGTGGAGAGTCCTCATCAAAGAAAAGGACTGGGCAGGGTGCTCAAAATAGCAATTCACTTAGGGGAACAAGAAGCCTTCAGGTACTGTCAAAGAAATCCCAGAAGGCCTAAATGGAGAGAATGTGAGGAGAGCCTTCTGTACCCTGGCTCCAGGGTCAGCTGCTCAGGATGCAGTTCTCTCTGATGTGGGGAGGGAAGTCGAGTGGGGCTGACAACTAAGGGGCTAATAGTGTCTGTTCCAGCCCCCTTTTCAGAGCCCCCAGGCCTGCCCACTCTGGCCTGCTGACCAGGCACATTTTTCTTAAAAGCCTGGCTCTCAGCCACTTCTCCACAGCAGTATCTTGGGCCAGTGGTGTCAGATCAAGATCGACTCCCCATGTCATCTTTTGGGACTGTGGGTCTCTGCTCTTGAGAAAGGCCAGCAGGGGCACATACTGCACCCAGAGTCAGTCTCTCTCTCTCTCTCTCTCTCTCTCTCTCTCTCTCTCTCTCTCTCTCTCTCTCTCTCTCTCTCTCTCTGTGTGTGTGTGTGTGTGGTGGGGGAGGGTAGGACAGGGCTATGAATGCCTGAGGTCTGAAGGTTCCTAAAGGCTCAGCACAGATGCTTCTGTTTGTCTCAGCGTCATGCTAGAGCAGTTCGGGTGGACTTGTTGCTATGATGTAGCCATGGCTACTTCAAGTTCACACTTTAGAACAAGCCTGCAAAAAGTCACATCCCTTCCTACTACTCACTGCCAGATGTCTGGTTTCCCACTCACCAGAGCTGTCTGTGTAGCCAGGAAGGTGGACGACTCCTGCAGCTTCTTTACCAGAAGAACTTGTTTAATTGGGTAACATGGCAACAAACTGCCATGACTGCAGGAGGCCCTAAGTGGTCCTGGGGTGCAAAGGTGAAACATGCCTAGAGCTTTATTCCTCCTCTTCTTTCAGGCTCTGCAGTCCTATCCTCAGGTCAGTATCCCCTACCCAACTGTGGGCCAGACTCCTTCAGGGTCCACTCCTCCTCTCCTAATCTTGCCTCCTATCTCGACTTCTGCCACTGACTCCCCCTTCCCGACAAGGGCCTTCAGGAACCGCAGCAGCCAGCAACTCTCTGGTGTCTGAGTCTGCGGTGAGCTTGGCAGCCGGAACCCAGGCGGTGCTACGCTGCCAGAGCCCGCGCATGGTGTGGACCCAAGACCGGCTGCATGATCGCCAGCGCGTGGTCCACTGGGATCTCAGCGATGGCCCAGGCAGCCAACGGCGCCGACTTGTGGATATGTACTCGGCGGGTGAACAGCGTGTGTACGAGCCGCGCGATCGCGACCGCCTCCTGCTGTCGCCTTCTGCCTTCCACGACGGCAACTTCTCGCTGCTCATCCGCGGTACGCTGTAGAACCGTGATGGGCTGAAACTTTGGCAGAAGTTGAAAACTTGGCGGCAGGGGCGAGGGTGGGGTGGGTAGCTGGAAGGAGCTGAGAGGTTGAGGGAGGCGGATACCTAGGAAAGACCAGGAGAGACCTCCCTAAGGTTGGAGCCTTGGATGGGCGGAGCCATAGAGGGGATGGGACGATTTTAGGGGAGAGGGAATTTAGAGGAGGATGGGTTCCCTCAAGCAAAGGTTATCTTCTGCCAAGCAGCTGTGGAGAGAGGCGACGAAGGGGTGTACACCTGCAATCTTCACCATCACTACTGCCACCTAGATGAGAGCCTGGCTGTGCGCCTCGAGGTCACAGATGATCGTGAGTGTGCCCCTTACCCTTCTTTGCTATTTCCATCCCTATCCTCCTTAACGCCCCCACTCTCAATCTTCCCCCTCTTCACCTCTGTGAGGTGATCTGACTGCCTTTCTCAATGCATCTGCAGCCCTATTAAGTCGCGCATACTGGGACGGTGAGAAGGAAGTGTTGGTGGTGGCCCATGGCGCGCCGGCACTGATGACTTGCGTGAACCGTGCGCACGTGTGGACTGACCACCACTTAGAGGAGGCGCAGCAGGTGGTCCATTGGGACCGACAGCTACCTGGGGTGTCACATGACCGCGCTGACCGCTTGCTTGACCTGTATGCATCTGGCGAGCGCCGCGCCTATGGTCCGCCCTTCCTGCGTGATCGTGTGTCAGTGAACACCAACGCTTTTGCACGCGGTGACTTCTCCTTACACATAGATGAGCTGGAGCCAGCTGATGAGGGCATCTATTCCTGCCACCTGCACCACCACTACTGTGGCCTCCACGAGCGCCGAGTCTTCCATCTACAGGTCACGGAGCCTGCCTTTGAGCCACCAGCTCGTGCTTCTCCTGGCAATGGGTCTGGTCACAACAGTGCTCCTAGCCCAGGTGTGTGTGCAGCCTGCCGCCTGAGAAGGGGCCCTGTTGTGACCTAGAGTGCTAAAGGTATTGCGGAGGCTTTCTTCCTTCCTTCCTTCCTTCCTTCCTTTCTTTCTTTCTTTCTTTCTTTCTTTCTTTCTTTCTTTCCTTCCTTCTTTCTTTCTTTCTTTCTTCCCCCTTCCTCCTCCTCCTTTTTTTTTCCTTTTGTTTTTTGAGACAGGGTTTCCTGTGTGATGAGATTAAAGGCATGCATCCCCACCACCTGGCTTGCAGAGGTTTTCTGATGCTTGCTACTTACCTCTAGATCCCACCCTGGCCCGAGGCCACAGCATCATCAATGTCATTGTCCCAGAGGACCACTCACATTTCTTCCAGCAACTGGGTTATGTGCTGGCCACCCTACTGCTCTTCATCTTGCTGCTCATCACTGTAGTCCTGGCTACACGCCATCGTCACAGTAGAGGTGAGGCTGGACCCTAGGATCAGAGGGGCCCAGATTAATGGAGGACAATGGGACTGACCCAATAACTCTCTCTTCACAGGATGCAAGACCTCAGACAAAAAAGCTGGGAAATCAAAGAGGTGAGTTTGCCTTCCCAACTCTCCTCCCAGACCTGCCCTGCCCAGGCCTTCTAAACTGTTGTCTCCCTTTAGGAAGGATGTGAACATGGTGGAGTTTGCTGTAGCCACAAGGGACCAGGCTCCATATAGGACTGAGGATATCCAGCTAGGTAGGGGTGAGGGCCACAAGGGTCTAGGGAAAGTACGTTTTTGGGTGGCACTTATTTTTTTTCCCCCAACCAGATTACAAAAACAACATCCTGAAGGAGAGGGCTGAGCTGGCCCACAGTCCCCTCCCTGCCAAGGATGTGGACCTGGATAAAGGTGAGCACTTTTACCCCCTCACCCCACTTGAGACTCTACCTATTCCAGGGACCCCTGTCATTTTCCTGAGAAGGCCTTAGGAAGTCATGCCAAATGTCTTCGCTGACTTTCCCACTGGGACTAAGGGACAGAAAGCAGACATTAGCCATTTTCTTGGCTTCCAGAGTTCAGGAAGGAGTACTGCAAATAAATGGACCCTGAGCTTCTGGCTGGGCCAGCAGCTCTGTATCAAAGGACATCTCCCTGACCCTCCTGCGGTATTCCTGGCTCTTCTCAGCGGCTGGTCCGACTTACCTAGAATCTTGGCTTAAACTTGGCAGAGCAGTTGCCTGTACTTTGCTCTTCCTAGAATCATCACCCTCATCTTGGTGAGCAACTGTGGGTTCCCTAGGGACTCTGGTATAGTATCATTGATGCCCTTCAATCACCTACTTGTACCTACTGGTGGCTGTATCCCCAACTTCAACACAACAAAGGTACACCAAAGATCTACCTTGTTAATATCCACCAAATACAAAGTCCCTCATGGCCTCTTACTGCTAGGGTTAGGAAAACACTTAAGGATTCTAGTTAAGACTCCTAAGGCTGGAGAGATGGCTCAGCAGTTAAGAGCACTGACTGCTCTTCCAGAGGTCCTGAGTTAAATTCCCAGCAACCACGTTGTGGCTCACAACCGTCTGTAATGGGATTCGATGCACTCTTCTAGTGTGTGTCTGAAGACAGCTGCAATGTACGCATATAAATAAAAATAAATAAATCTTTAAGACTCCTAGCCGCCAGTTGAACACATTAGCCATTGTCCTGGGGGTCTTCCTGAATCACACTATGTCTGTGCATTTGCTCAAAGCCCTGCTGTCATATGTTCTGACTCATGGGCCCTCCTTGCTGCTTTGGGCAACTTGGGGCTGGTCCATGGCCCTTTCTCTGCTTCTGATTCCTTTCTGCTGAATGCCTTCTGAGAGCTGTACCAGCAGTTACTCGGTACCATGTGACTCTTGGCCTTGACATCCCTCCCTAGGCTGGAGTCTGGGATTGGGGCCCCATTTGTCCTCTGTTTTGGCTGAAGATGGGGTGAAGAGGGTTCTGAGGGGCCTGTGCTGTCACATCAAACAGCTATTATTTGCTCCTACTGGGGAAGTTTTCATGTGATAATAAAAGATACATCTGATTTTTAGTCTTGGACCTGATGCTCTCCTTCTGTTCAGGGAGGACATGTTTGGGTCTTGGGAACCCCAGGATGTTCCCATAACCTTTGTTTTAGTCCCACTGTCCTTCCTTATTCCCTTGGGTGGAAGGTCTTTGTCTAGGTCCTATGACACTGAAATCCATTTTCCATGTTGAAGAGCTTTCAGCTCCTTTTCTGAAGTGTGTGTGTGCGTGTGTGTGTGTACAAGGAGGGGGGAGGTATACAATGGTGGTGGGGGAGGTTGGCCATAGAAGGAAATGCTGTTAACCCAGTTCTTTGAGAAGCAGATGCTGAGATGGAGTAAAAGGAAGACGAAAAGATATGCAGGCATGTTCCCCAAGGATACAAATCTGAGGAGATTTGGGCAGAAAGAGCCCCAAGAGGCAAGCCTTGGTCAATAGGATCAGGTATTGGTTTTCAGGTACTGTTCCCCTGGGGATAGTTAAAGCTAGGCACTGATTGTGTGACCTCAGCAGACTCAGAGTTTTGTGAAAAAGCAGCTAAGAGAGGCCATAGACCTCTTTCCCACCTCCCCCCTCTCTTTTAAAAAATTGGGACTAGAGAGATGGCTCAGCAGTTAAGAGTACTGGCTGCTCTTCCAGAGGACCCAGGTTCAATTCCCAGCACCTACAGGACAGCTCACAACTGTCTGTAACTCCATTCCCAAGGAGTTATATCCAACACCCCCACACAGATATTCATGCAAGCAAAATATCAATACACATAAATTAAAACAAGTATATTAAAAGCCTTTGAAAATTTATCATTTTATATATATATGAGCGTTTCTGCCTGTCTGTTTGTCTATGTACCTCATGTGTGCAGTGCCCATGGAAGATAGGTTTTGAATTCCTTAGATCTGGAGTTACAGATGGTTGTCAGCAGCTATAGGGTGCTGAGAATTGAACCTGGGCCCTCTGGAAGAGAAGTCAGTGGTTTGTTTTTGTTTTGTTTTGTTTGTTTTTGTTTTTTTGTTTTTGTTTTTTGTTTTTTTCGAGACAGGGTTTCCCTTTATAGCTCGGGCTGTCCTGGAACTCACTCTGTAGACCAGGCTGGCCTCGAACTCAGAAATCCGCCTGCCTCTGCCTCCCAAGTGCTGGGATTAAAGGCGTGTGCCACCACCGCCCGGCCAACCCCTCATCTTTTAAGTACTTAATAACTTATTTATATGTGTGTCATTCTGGACATGCCCATCACGGCATGTATGAAGGTTAGTTCAAGGCCAGCCTGGTCTTGAAAGCAAGTTCCAGGACAGCCAAAGCTACACAGAGAAACCCTGTCTTGAAAAAATGAAAAAAAAAATGTTTAGGAGTTGATTCTCCCCTTAAACTATATGGGTTACAGGGAAGCAAACACCTTTAATTGACCTCCCCCCTTTTTTTTTTCAAAAGAGAGTATTTATTTATTCATTTATTTATTTTTGTTTTGAGGCAAGGTCTCACTACATAGCCCTGGCTAGGCTTAGAACTCATAGAGATCCACTTGCCTCTCTCCTTAATCCTTAATCTTAGATTAAAGATACATGTCATCACATCACATTTTTAGTTAATAAAATTTTATTAATTTTTTTCATTCATAGTGTGTGAATATAGATAAATGGGTGGTGTGGATGTGGAGGTCAGGTGATAACTTGCAAGAACTCTTTCTCTCCTTTCCCCGGTAGCCTTCAGCCTTCACTATTTGGGTCCTGGGATTCAAACTCAAATTATCAGACATGGCAGCAGGCATCTTCTCACTGGTCCAAGAATAGTGAGGGTAGGGAAGGCTGGCAGTTCCTCACAGGACTTCAGTGACCTACTGAGGTGTGGCTTGAGGATGCGTCTCTCACACTAGTGGGCTCTGATCCCATCAGAGGTCACATTGCTACTGGACAAGGCCACTTCTGGAGAGGAATGGGCTCTGACATCATATCCATCTCTTCTACAGTGACCCAAACTGTCCCCATCAGCATCAGTACCCTGACTCCTACCAAGCCTCTGATTTCTAATTCCTTCTATAATTTGGGGTGTCAGGTGGGAATCAAGGACATCTGGGCTATGGGGACCCCTTTATTCGAGTGCTTCTGACCAATAGACCAGTAGTAGCTTGTGTCTGGCCTGAGGGGCACTCATAAAAGGGACTGTCTTCCTTCTTCTTTGGGCAGACCCTCTGAAGCCATCTTGCCCGATTTCTTTAGGTTATTCTTATAAAGATTCAAGGAAGGCCAGCTGCTGGCAAAGGGAGTATAGATTTCCAGAATATTCCAGAATAGCAGTTTGTAGTAAGGGGGAGAATTCTGCTTAGGCTGACTTCAGTGACCTTTAGTATAGGCATTCAACGCCTACCTCTGGGTCCTCCAGGGAGTGGTGGGATCTTTCCTTGTGCTGGTTTAGTGTCTGGGGATGGTCCAAGGTCACAACAGGCACCCCTTTTCTCCATCACTGATCAATATCCTATGCATTCCCCATTCTTCTTACTGGCCAGTGAATTACTTCCTCTAATGGCCTTAGGCCATCCTGGAGGGAGGGGCGACCTAGTCTTCCTTGGTCTGCAGAGGACAACTGGCTGGTTCAATCTACAGTGTCCAGGGCGATCCCTTTGGCTTCAGTTGCAGCCTGGGTCTTGCCTGGATATCTGTGTGTATACCTGTGTCACTATGTGAGTTTCTTGGCGATCCAATGGGACAAGGCAGTGGGCATAAGAACTGAGCTCAGGATTAGCGTGGGAGCACAGTGAGGCTCTCGCTGTTTGGGCTAGGCATAGCTATCTTCGAATTCTTGTAGGACGCCCAAAACCGCCAAAGTGGCCAGTGCCTCCACATTCTGGACACCTAGGAGGCTCTGTGATTGGGTAGGAGAATCAGGACCGGTCTAGCCTTACGACACTCCTCTGCTCCCTGGCAGATCTTATTGGCTCAAGGGCAGCGACCTTTCCAGGATCCATCTGTCTTTCTGGGGTCCAGCATGACTATCGGCCCACAAACCTCAGACGCAGATGCCGCAAGGACTGTAGCCTGTTGGGAATCTGGGCGAGCACTGGGGTAGGGCTCCTGGCTAAGGGAACTCAGAGCCCCACCCGAAGCCAGTGCTCAAAGAGACCCAACTAGCCCGGCCTCCGGAGCCTGCCCAGTCCCACCCGAGTTGCCCCGCCCGCGCGCACACCGTAGCCCAGCCCCACCGGACCCGTTCTGCGCGTGCGCAGTCCCGCCCCGCCCGCGCTGCGGGCGACCAGTGACGTCACCGGCCCTGAAGCGCCCTCCGGCGGCCGTGGGCTCAACCCCACCAGGCGGTTCTTGAACAGCCCAAGGGGGCGGCGGGCCGCAGTAGCCCTCTGAGCTGCTTTCCCTCGCGCCCGCTCCGGGGCCGCAGCGGATGGGCGGCCGCGGGCCGCGGGGCAACAGGCGGGGAACGGGTGCGAGCCAGGACCGGGAGGGGCGGACGCGCAAAGGGGCCGCGGGGCGGCCGGGCGGGGCGCGGGCCGGCGGTTTGGGAGGGCGCCCCGCGTCCGAGAGGTGAGCCGGGCCCTGAAGCTGCGCGGGTTCCGCGTCGCCCCTGCCGCGCCATGGCGGAGACCAAAATCATCTACCACATGGACGAGGAGGAGACGCCGTACCTGGTCAAGCTGCCCGTAGCTCCCGAGCGCGTCACGTTGGCGGACTTCAAGAACGTGCTCAGCAACCGGCCGGTGCACGCCTACAAATTCTTCTTCAAGTCTATGGACCAGGACTTCGGGTCAGTGGGCCCTGCGGCCTGGGCAAGGGTGCTGGCACTCTCCCGCGCGTGTGTGGTGGCTCCCGGGCCCCCGCGCGGACATGAGCTGGCACCTGTCTGCGTCGACAGGGCTTTCGGGTCTGGGGACGTCAGAGAGCGCCCCCGTAGCCGGCAACCCTGCGGCGCATCTACAGCAGGTGTAGGTAGAGTCTCTGTACCTCGGTGACCCTGTCTGTGGCAAGCTGGGGATCCGAGCCCTTGACTACCCTCTAGGTAGGCCAGACAGTTCTTTCTGATGGACAGGCGAGGGCCCAGGCTTTCTGACCACCATTCGGTGGTGCTCCTGTGCCCAGCTGGTCCAAGTTGGGTGCTGAAGGCCACTCTCAAAGCCACCTCCCTTCTCTCTGATTAAGCACAGTTTCTGATGCATTCCTCTTCTATGGGAGGAAACCCGGGGCTCAGAACTGCCCTGGAGGGTGTGCAGTTTTATGCGGGGGTGGGGGTTGGGGATGGGGGTAGGGGATGAGGGTAGAGGGTGGGATCAAGGAGAAGGATTGGGGGTTTGTGGCTCCTAGCACCCAGTGGATCCTCCACTTGAGATGGAGTAATGTGGAATAGGTGGGTCATAGGCACCCATCTGTTTTCTGGAGCTTAGAAAAGTTCTGAAGCCTGAAAACAGACTCTTTCTGGCCCCTCTAGAGTCTCTGTGGCAAGGCAGAGGTCAAGGGTCACTGGAAACCAAGAAGCTTCATTCGATGTACCCTGCCCCCTTGATTCCTGGCTCCTGTGCCCCTGACCTTTCTGAACCACACAACATTTACATTCCTGGGAGGTGCTCAGGTTATCTCCTGACTTGAGTCAGCTTCTAACGTAGTGTGTTTCCTAGCTAAATGGCTGTGGTGGCTGTCTCAGGAGATGGGACTTCCTATTTGAGCTAAGCTGGGCCTCTGAGACAGTGAGCCAGGGACTGGCAGTGCAACAGAGGCCTGAGAGGGCATAGCCACAGAAACTTGAGTCCATGGCTTGGCAGTGTTTGGGGGGTGGGGAGGCAGGGTAGCATGCTTAGGCCCTGTGGGTGGAGCAGGTGTGCTTGGTGCCCTTGTGTGCGACTGCATCTCAGGGCTTTGACATTGAGGCTGTTTCCTGGATTCCATGGTTGCAGGGTCCCTGGGCAGCCCATGGGTCAGGTCAAGCTTGGATCTCTTTCTGACCTTGGGTGTCTAGGCAGGACTGAACCTGGTTTGGATAACTAAACTCTCTTGCCTACACAGTCCTTGAGCCCCAACCACCAGGAAAAAGAAAAGGAGAGTGTGTCCCTCACAGCTTAAAGGCGGGTGCTGTCCATTTGCCTGGAGGCTGGAAGGCCTTGCTCTGGAGGTTGGTCTTTCCTGACTCTCCTGTCTGGGCCACCTCCTGTGGTCTCTACTCTCAGGGACAGGGTATCTCTGGATCCAAGTATTGGTGCATTTTGGATTTTTTTTTTTTTTTTGTGACCAAAGTCACAAATGTTTTCACAAACTTGTTACACCCTAAGGTGTGAGCGGTAAGGAGTAGACCTGGGTTGCTTTCTGCTATATACTCTGGGTGTCTCCTGAGGGTACCTGTCCCTCTACTCTGATGTCCATGTTGGGTAGGGTGTGCCAGGAGCAGTAACCCAGCATCAGCTCACATAGATTCCCTACTATCTGTGCTTGTGGCAGATTTGGAGGACTGGCAGGTGTCCTGGCTAAGGAGATGGGATAGCAGAGATGTGTCTTGAAGCAGGAATAGTTCCTTTGGGTGGGTTTGAAATGTCTGTGCAGTGGGGTCTGGAGTTAACAGAGAGCTCAGAGAGACAAGTTGGGTGCCCTGGGTGTGTGGAAGAACTAAGAGGCAGAGCAACTTAGTGGTAGAGTCTGGACTAGGGATGACACAGAAAGACAAGCAGCTTGTCAGTAGGCCTTACCATGACTCTGACCTGGTACTCTGATGGTTTAGTGGACTTGGGAGCCTAGAAAAGGAACCCTACCTTGTTCCAACAGCATCCCTCCTTTCCTTGTCTGAGGTCTACCTACAGAGCTTCAAGGACACCAAGAGAAAGTAGCTTAATGTTGGGAGAAGGGAAGCTAAGCAAGTGGCCTCAGGGGTGGCCACAGACTAGAGTCTGTGAGGAGTACCCTAGTGAGTTTAGCTCCAGATCAAAGCCTGGCTACTTTGTAAGGAGCAGAGTCTGCCCTGGGCTGGGCTCAATTCCCAGTGTGTATCTTTAGCCAACAAGGTAAAGGTCTATTCTATGCCCACTTGCGTGCAGCTTATGGTTGTTCTGACCCTGGACCCCAAGGCTTAGTTAGTAGTAGCATGACTTCTGGGTTCTGGTGGGCCCCATGGAGGTGTTTTGTGTTTGTTCTGGTGACAGTGGAGGGTCTAGTCTATGATAGAGGAGTGAATACATTTGGCTCTTGATTCCTGCTACTAGGAATGTACTGCTGATACCAGCCTGTCTGATGTTATACTGAGTTCATCTGCCTGGCAGTTGCCCCAGACTCATCTCTGAGAAAGAGCTACCTGAGCTGGAGGGAAGCAGGCAAGGGTAAAGGCTAGGAGCCCTGGGCTTTGGGGTCCTCTGCACATTGGCAAATGTTCTAAGGGCTCCCTGTGCCCTGGTTAAGCTGCCTGGGGTCAGTGACTTAGCCTCTTTGTGTTCCATGTGCCTCCCTAGTATTTATTATGAGACTCTAGATAATTATAATGCATTTCCTGAGCTGTGGGGAAGGACTCAATATGTTCTGGGGCTCAACGCCCCATGGGATGGGTTGGTAGAAGAGTGGCCAGCTATGGTCAGAGGCCTATGTACACCTGCCAGTTCAAGTTCACAGGTAGTAAAACTCCTTAGGCTAAGAGCCCAGTCCACACCGATGCTTGGTAGGAGCTGAACCCTCACTCCTGGGAGCATACAGAAGCCCCTTGAAGCTCAAAATACCTCCATGATCTGTGCCTACTTGTTCTGCCAGTCTCTGGCTCTATGTGCATGGGAATTGGAATGGGACTATCTCAGGGCTGGGTAACTAGAGAGGTAGTCTGTGTGTTGCTGTAACCTCCGGAAACCCTGGGTCCTCTTTGGCTAAGCTATGCAGGGTTCCAAAGGCCCTACCTTAGAACAGATTTCTCCTTGAGGTGGATCACTGGGGGTGGATGGTAGAGCCCAGTGGCCACAAGGATCTCTCCAGGAATTCTAAGGTTGGGTCAAAATGCTCACGGGGTACCCTGAGTCACCGTGCAGAGTCAGTAGAGACATATTAAGGTCAGCTTTTATCTTGAGAAAACAAGGCATACAAGGCTCAAGTTAGTAGGGAGGTTTGGTTGTGCCTCATTCTGTTCTTGTTATAGAGTGCCCAGGAGGCTATACCACAGCTGTGGGTAGCATCACATACCTGTGGTACCCATTCCTGCCTCTACCATGGGTATTGTGATGTTTGCCCTTTGCCTAGCCAAGGGGAAAGGGGAAGGACCAGGGTTAGCCCTAGCATCTGGGGTAAACACCATCCTCTCAGTACTGTCATTTCCCTTTGGCCTGTCTTCTTGCCCTGACCCCTAGGTAGAAAGCAGGACTTGGGTTGCTCAGGCTGGGAGGGCTAAGAAGCGAAGTTTTTGAACCATAGAGGTGTAACTTGTTAGGGTTTGAGAGGTACAAAGACCTCAAGCTGGCCATATTACCTTAAGGGTCTGACCAAGTAGGCTCTGGCTGGGACACAGTGCCTGTTTGAGGAGCTAGGCAGGTCCTATTGTGGGTGCTAGAAATTGCTGATAGGTTTCCCCATGGGTGAGTCAGGGAAGGTTGGAGCTTGGGTGTGCCAATGAGAAAGGCTTTTGGTGAGTCCACTTGGGGTAGAGGTTGGGGACTAAGGTGAGGAAGATTCCTGTCTGGCTTTCTGTTGCTGTTAGGTTACTCAGAGATAGCAGGCTTTTTGTGGGCCCTGGTATACCAGCTGCCACAGGCAGAGCTTTGTCATCCTCAAGAGAAACTATCCCACCATGGAGCAGCCCCAGGTCTTCCTGTGATGACAGCCTCTCTTGTGGCTGCTTTGGCCCAGGCTTGTAAATAGAGTAAGCCACAGGGCTGTAACTTGTAATTGGAGGAAGAGATTCATTGATTCAGAACCTCATGGGCACATGGAAGCAGCAGTAAGATCAGAAAAGTGATTGGGGTATACTTTCACTTTCAGGCTGTCCAGCCTCTGCCACCACCTCAGCCCTAGGTCTCAAACAATTGGGTGGACAAAGGCCTTATTCCCGAGATAGGATGGGATGTTGCTCTGCTAGAGCTTCCTGCAATCTCCTGTTGCCCAGTGGTTCTGGAACAGCAGGCAGAGGTGGCCCTGCCCCTGGCATTGGGCCAATTAAGCCACAAGCCTGCTTCCTGCCAGGTGCACTTCCAGGACCAGTCTGGTTTTCCAGTTCTACTCAATTCAAGTTTTAGGTGTGGAAAATCCCACTATGCTAGGTGGAGCTAAGTGCTAGGGTGAAGGTGAGGGAGTGGAGAATCTAGGTCCTGAGGAGATAGGTGGAAGCCTATTCCCAGCTGCCCCTTTTGACCTGTCCTGGCTCTTGTCCCTGCCTTTTTGAACACTGACCCCAGGCTTTCTGGCTTCCTTCCCAGTTCTCAATCCCTGACCCCTTGAATCTTGCTTGGGCTGGCTTGGCTCCTTTCTAGCCATGCTGACCAGGGAAGCAGCATGAAGACAAACAGAGATGGCTATGGTCAGTAGGTACGGCCAGGGCTTGGCTAGCTCTGTCCCTAAATGCCCTTCCGGGTCCTCAGATAGAAGGCAACCAAACTTCCTGAGAGTTGGGACTGATCTCGTGCATGAGGTCTACTTTGTCTGTCTAGCTGGGTAGATGGTTTTGAGGGCAGCAGGAGCTGGTATCCTTCTGGCCCTCTCACATCTGTAGAAGGGGTTGGCAGTCCTTGTACCTTATACCAGGAAGTCCAGGCCCTCTCTGGGTTGGGGGAACTCAGAGACTCAAGAGCATGGAGCACCATGAGATGCACATCACATTGACTAGGGCCTGAGTGCTCCAGAGAGGCACAGAGGGTGTGTGCTGGGAAGATGAGGACAGGAGTAAGTACGCCTGATTTAAGCAGTGTACAAAATGCTGTTCCTGTCCAGCCCAGTCTGAATGCAGGGTTTGGAGGCCCTTCTGGAACTAGTTGGAATTGGAGCTTTTGTGGCACATGGTGGGATTTGGGGTGAGGGGCAGAGAAGAGCCATAGGTTGTCCCAAGCACCTGGATAGGTAGAGCTACTTTCCCTAAAATTTGGAAGCCCAGAGAGTTCCCAAAGGAGTCTCAGGTGTTATATGTTGTAGTGAGGGAGCTTTTGCGTCCCCATGAGCAGGCATATGTAGGTCTGATATAAATCTCGGCCAGGGCCAATGAAGCTGAACCATTAGGGACTTTTCCAGGAACCTTTAGCCTTGTCTGACTCACCAAGGGCTAGAGGCTGACTCTGGAAGTGAACAAGAGTTCTAGGATGTCCTTCCATGAACTCTCTACATCTACCCCAGTGCTAAGGATCAGGGGTTTGGGGCCAGTGGAGAGCAGCAGAGCCCCTAAGAAGAGAATGTGTTAGGTAAACCCTCAGTAACAGCTGTGGCCTTGTTTGACCACAGGGTGGTGAAGGAGGAGATCTTCGATGACAATGCCAAGTTGCCCTGCTTCAATGGCCGGGTGGTTTCCTGGGTGAGTCTATGGGTGGCTCCACCAGAATGATGCAGGTGGGATCTTCCTGGGAGAAGTAAAGTAACTGGACAAAGGTAGGCAGCATCTGGGTGCCTGTAGGGGTGGTCTTGAAGTATATGGCCATCCAAGGCCTCACTCTTCCTTCACAGCTGGTCCTGGCTGAGGGCGCTCACTCGGATGCAGGGTCCCAGGGCACTGACAGCCACACGGACCTGCCCCCACCCCTTGAGAGGACAGGCGGCATTGGGGACTCCAGGCCCCCCTCCTTCCAGTAAGGCCCCTAGCAGGGGCAGAGATCTGCCATTGCTGGATACTTGCTACCCAAGACCCACCTGGGAAGAGTGAAGCTGACAACAGAGGAGGGGCCTGCAGTTGGGTGGGAGGAACCTTCTAGAACTAGGGTCCTGCCTGGGGGGTTGGGGACTAGGAATCATTCGAGGTGCTGGCTGCCAGCAACCTGGTCTACCCAATTCCACCTGCTTCTCATCTATGCAGTCCAAATGTTGCCAGTAGCCGTGACGGAATGGACAATGAGACAGGCACAGAGTCTATGGTCAGTCACCGACGGGAGCGAGCCCGACGCCGAAACCGTGATGAGGGTACTATGACTGTGGCTTCCCTTGGTATCCCTTTGATATACTCCAAGTCCCTGGAAATACTCCACAGATTCTTTCAAGCAGTGATCCTTGGGTAGAGGCCCCAACTTGGTACTCCTAGCCCCTGTGGCCCCAGAGTCACTGCATAAGCTTTGAAATGTACAGGCCACCCTCATTCTGTGATCACTGAAGTCCCACAGTCGGTTCCCATCCTACCATCCCCACAGCTGCCCGGACCAATGGGCACCTGAGAGGGGACCGGCGGCGGGACCTGGGACTACCTCCAGACAGTGCATCCACTGTACTGAGCAGTGAGCTTGAATCTAGCAGCTTTATCGACTCAGATGAAGAAGACAACACGAGTCGGTGGGTGGCATGTGTACATGTCAGTATGTGCTGGAGTATGTATTTATGGTTAAGAGTACTGATTGGTTATACATATTTGTGCCTTGTACTTTTCTGACTCCTGGCTTCTTGTTCCTGCCTCTGGTCCCCTGCCTCAGGCTGAGCAGCTCTACCGAGCAGAGCACCTCCTCTCGGCTAATTCGCAAGCACAAATGCCGTCGTCGGAAGCAGCGCTTGAGGCAGACAGACCGGGTAGGCAGCAGGTGGGTGGGGTGTCTGCTCTGAATGGTGGGCACACAGCCTCTCACTGGGTCCTTCCACAGGCCTCCTCCTTCAGCAGCATCACCGACTCCACCATGTCCCTGAACATCATCACTGTCACTCTCAACATGGGTGAGGCCTTGTGGGCTGTGGGTGCTTGCTGGGGGTGGGTACAGCCTTGGGACCTTTTGGGGCCCGCTCATGGCCCCTCCTGCAGAGAGGCACCACTTCCTGGGCATCAGCATCGTGGGCCAGAGCAACGACCGGGGTGATGGCGGCATCTACATTGGATCCATCATGAAGGGCGGGGCTGTGGCAGCTGATGGCCGCATTGAGCCAGGCGACATGTTGCTGCAGGTGGGAGTCATGTGGGGACTGTGGGGACAAGATGTACCCACATCCCACCACCAATCCCTGACCCCACAAACCCCATAGGTGAATGATGTCAACTTTGAGAACATGAGCAACGATGATGCTGTGCGGGTGCTTCGGGAGATCGTATCCCAGACGGGGTGAGGGGGGGATCCGTGTGGGGGTGGGAGTGGCATGGAATGGGAGGGGCTGTGCAGGCCTCACCTACGACTCGGTCTGCTGAACTCTGTAGGCCCATCAGTCTCACAGTGGCCAAGTGCTGGGACCCGACCCCTCGGAGCTACTTCACCATCCCAAGGGGTGAGTGGCCCCATGGAAAGGTGGGGTAGGGTGGGGCTCCTAGGCCCAGTCTGAGAGTCGTTTTTGTCTGCCTCTGTGCTGTCTGCCTACTTACTATCACCTGTCATCTGTTGCCATGTGATAACTGTGCAGCTGACCCAGTTCGACCCATCGACCCGGCTGCCTGGCTGTCCCACACAGCAGCACTGACGGGTGCTCTGCCCCGCTATGGTACGAGTCCCTGCTCCAGCGCCATCACACGCACCAGCTCTTCCTCACTAACCAGCTCAGTGCCCGGCGCCCCACGTAAGTGGCAGCTCACAAGAGCCCCCCAGGAAACTGAGGCTGAAGGGCAAGGGTCAGCTCTAGCTTTGAGCTTTGTGCTCATCGGAGCTGTTCCAGGGGCCTATTATATATGAAGGTGTTGGTTTGCCTCCAACACCTTCACAATTGTGTAAACAAAGATACATGTACATATCTCTCCAAGGCTGGCCATAGTGGTCATCTGCATGAATTGAAGGGTCCTGCCAGGCCTGTGCTGAGGATTGGGAGGACATGGTAGCCTCTGCTTTGCTTTTCTGCTACCTAACATAACTAACAGCTTGAGCTCTCCAGGGAGGTGTCCTTGGGGGAGGGGAAGGAGCTGGTTTGCCCATATGTACTTGGACTGTGGGGCAGGGACGAATATCCCAGTCTTAGGTCGAGTTTTGATGAGAGATACCTCCCAAGGGTAGGAGATAGAGGTTTGGTCCTGCCCCCTGCCCCATGGAGGTTCACGCAGTGAGCCTGGGCTTAGAGAAGTGTGTTCTGCAGAGCTTGAGGAGGCACCGCTGACTGTGAAGAGTGACATGAGTGCCATTGTCCGCGTCATGCAGTTGCCAGACTCGGGACTGGAGATCCGGGACCGCATGTGGCTTAAGATCACCATTGCCAATGCTGTCATTGGTGAGTCCCTGGCTATGTGGGAAGGGCCCAGTCTGTTCTTCATTCTGGTGTAGCTTCCCAAGGCTCAGCTACCCTGACTTTCATGGGCCTATGGCCAGGGGCGGATGTGGTGGACTGGCTGTACACACACGTGGAAGGCTTCAAGGAGCGAAGGGAGGCGAGGAAGTATGCTAGCAGTATGCTGAAGCATGGTTTCCTGAGGCACACAGTGAACAAGATCACCTTCTCTGAGCAATGCTACTATGTCTTTGGTGACCTGTGCAGTAGTGAGTAGGGGTTATCGGGTTGGGATTGTTGTGGGGCTCATCCATTTGCCTTCACTTACCCCTCCCCTCCCTTCCTGCCAGACCTCGCATCCCTGAACCTCAACAGTGGCTCCAGTGGAGCCTCAGATCAGGACACACTGGCCCCACTGCCCCACCCATCTGTACCCTGGCCCTTGGGTCAAGGCTACCCCTACCAGTACCCAGGACCCCCGCCCTGCTTCCCACCTGCTTACCAGGACCCTGGCTTCAGCTATGGCAGTGGCAGTGCTGGGAGTCAGCAGAGTGAAGGTGAGAGTCATGCCAGCCCCTCCTCCCACTCCCATTCCTTGGCTCTGCCTGGCCCTGATGCTTCCCTCTGTGCTCCTGCTGTGTGTTTGGGTCCTGGTGGGTCCCATCTTAGGAGTCAGTGTGTGGGACAGGGAGGGGCTGATGTGAGTACTCAGTGTGGTTCTGTGGTTAGAAACCTCTAGAGAATAGGAAGACGGCCTGGTGGGAACAGGCCTGGTGTGCTAGGTGGCAGAGGCAAGAGGCCAGGACAGATGATGTGGCAGGAATGAGGATGAGAGTAGCCATGGGCATCAAGTAGGGGCACTCTCTGGTTCCAAGTTAGAGGGAGAATGGACTTTATCAGTTATGGTGCCTGCATCCCGACAGAGTGCCAGACAAGAATATGAAACAACACCAATAAAGCATATCCCAGGGATATTGAAGACCTTGAAGGGTGGGTGTCCCTGAGGAGGAGATGGCCTAAAGCGGAGGTCTTAGGCAGAGTGGGGCACAGTTAGGCCAGCAGCTGTGCTACAAGGTTCAGAGAAAGACTCAGGAGAGGTTGGGCCAGAGGGTGGCGATGCTCAAGGGGAAGCTATTGACTGACTACTGACCTTGGACAGGCCCTTGCATGTAACCAGGCTCAGCTTGGCCCAAAACAGTCCTATTCGCCATTGGTGAGCACTGGACTGGTGTGTGACTTGTGCTATCCCTTGCTTTGTGCTGAGCAAGCCTTAGACTGAAGGACTAGCAGAGTGGACCCTCGGGCCGGTAAGCCAGGTCCCCCTGTGTCCCTCTCAGCATGTCCCCAGCCAGCACGTGTTTTCAGGTTCCCACTACTTTCAGGACAGGGGCTAAGAAAATTAGCTGACCAGGGTTCTGGGGTTGGGTGGACAGTGGGTCTTTGGGTGGTGAACCCAGGATGGCTAATGGGAATGCTGGGCACACAAGGCCTTCACTGGTTTCTTAGTTTCTCAGCTGTAACATTAGTTACAATGGTTCAAGCATTGGGGTTAGGTGTGGGGTGCCAAGCTGGCCCCTATTGTCCCTGCTGTCTGCCACTGCCCCTAGCTTCTCGCCTCTCAGCTGTTCTGGTATCTGCATGGCTGCCATTCCCCTACCATCCCCAGGCTCACCAGGTCCTGCCCTGGCTGGCTGGGAGCAACTGATGGTCCTGGAAGTGGCCAGGCCTAGTGCTGACTTGTCCCTTCCCTTCTAGGGAGCAAGAGCAGTGGGTCCACAAGGAGCAGCCATCGGACCCCAGGCCGAGAGGAGCGCCGGGCAACTGGAGCTGGGGGTAGTGGCAGTGAATCAGACCACACAGTACCAAGTGGGTCTGGTAGCACCAGCTGGTGGGAGCGGCCTGTCAGCCAGCTTAGCCGTGGCAGTAGCCCTCGAAGTCAGGCTTCAGCTGTTGCCCCAGGGCTCCCCCCACTGCACCCCCTTACAAAAGCCTATGCAGTAGTGGGTGGGCCACCTGGAGGGCCACCTGTCCGGGAGCTGGCTGCTGTTCCTCCAGAACTTACAGGTAGCCGCCAGTCCTTCCAAAAGGCCATGGGAAACCCATGTGAGTTCTTTGTGGACATCATGTGATGATCAACCAGTGTTTTCAGTGCTACCTGTGGCGAGAGTCTGTGTTCCTGCTGTGCCAGGAGCTCTGTGGGCTTGCCTTAGTGGTGGCCAGCCAGGATAGATCAGTTGTAGAGACTGGGCCATGGCAAAGGGAGCAGGCTACAGAGGAGGGGCTGAAGGCAGCCATACCACCAGGATATTGGCTTGACATTTTGTCTGCTGATGGTGGTGCAGCTCAAGTATCAGTAGAGTCTTGTAAGGAGACATCTCTGTCTTTAAGTCCTCAGCACAAGCCTCAGAGACCACCTCCTGGTTCCTCTTTTGGAAGTGACCTCCATTTAGGACACAAAAGGCTCTCTTGGGCTCTGTTACCCTTTTCCCCAAAGTCTCCCAGAGGGGCACAGTCTGACCATCACTAAGTTCATGGGCCTCACCTGTCAGGCCAAGGTGGCATTCTTGAGGGGTTAGACAGAGCCCTCAAACCTCTCTGGCTGCCCAGGTGGGGTCTAACTTATTTATTTATTGCTAGCCTGCCTGCTCTGAGGGTGGCAGCTGGTTACCCAGTAGGGGCAGTTTGCTTGCCCCTTTCCCCACCTGCTACTTGGCAGACAACAACACAGTTTGGACTGAAGGTATGTGGAGGATGGCTAGTAAGGGAGACAGGAGAGAGACCTGGCTCCTGTCTACTGTCTCAGTCTCAATGGCGGGTGACAGTGAACACAAGAGCTGCAGAGGTGAGGTCCTGTCCTATCACTGTTCTGGTGGCTGCCCATCACCATGTGCCACTGACATCCTGGCACAGCAGCCCCACACATCTACACTAGACACTGTGTCAAAGTCTGAGCGACTGGGTAGTTCACATAGAGCTGCTTCTGTGTAAATGCTGCTTCTGTGTAAATGCTATTTTAAACACTAAAAAAGCGTTTAATTTTATGGGACTGATGTGTGGCTTGTTTCTCTTTTCTCCAGCTAAGCTGCTTCCGGATTCAGGTGTGGGGGCCAGTCCAGAACTGACCCAGGTCTGATCCTGCCTGGAGATGGAAGACGCTCTTGTCCCTTGCCGCATAGTCATGTGGCTCTGTCCCTGGTGCTGGCCAGTAAGGGGCCACGCAGGCAACTTGTCTGTCCTTGGTACTAGTAGCTGATTCCAGGGGTCCTGGGTGGCTGGTGCTGGCCATGGTGCTGACCCACACCCCACCCTGTTGTATGCTCTGTCCAAGGTGCTGGTGGTGACCTGGTCCTCTCCTACAGGCTAGGGCTCAGCCAGGAATGGAGAAGGCTGGGTGTTGCCTACCTCCTGAGTGTCCTCTGCTTGCTGTCTTTCTTGCTCTTTCCTGATACATATATACATGCCCAGCCTTCTATTCCTGGGATGCCTGGACAGGGTGCTGAGTGAGGGCCCCAGGCTGGGCGTGTTCAGGCAAGTAGTACCTTCTGGCCTCCCAGGGTTTGCCTGGGGAATTCCTGAATTTGAAGTATGGCTATGGAGTCTCAAAGAACCTTTTGTGGGTCATTTTCTAAGCTAATAGAGCTTGGTCACCTGGGCAGGCCTTAGGTGGGCATAACAGGATCAAGGATGATCATGCCTTTGAGGGATAGGTAGGCTCATAGGGTCCATCTTGTGCACTGCAGGCCTTGGGGGGTTACTGTGGGGCTAAGGTCAGTGGAGTCTGAGTCTATAGTTAAGTGTTTTAAGTCTCAGGTTGAGGTACTATTTAGGATTTGTTGGCTTAGGAGATCTCTGGTAGGGCTGGGTTCACTAAAGGTAAGGTCATTGGTCAGGGGTCATTTGTTGTGTTCTTGAGTTGCCTCACCTCTACCACTGTTCCCATCTGCTGCTCCCTTAGGGCTCCTTCCCAGGAAGAACTCCTGGGTGTTGAGCTTTGGCAGCCACAGAAGCACATAGCACTTGGGCAGGTGGAAGGTGACTAGGATGCCCAGGGCACAGAATAGGATAGCACCCATCTGCACAGCTGGCTGGTAGGTCACCTGCACATTGGCCAGCAGGGGCACAAAAGAAACCCAGGTGATGAAATAAGTTAGCATGGCGAAGGTGAGACCACGGGCACGGTTGTAGCGACTAGGCTGGCTCTGTACCAGGAAAGTGCCCAGAAAGCAGAGGAAAGCTAACATTGCATTGGTGATGTGCACCAAGCCCAGGCTGACCCAGGAACGCATGCGGCAGTGCTCCAGTACCTCTGTGGGCAGCACCCGCCAATCTGTCACCACCTCTGGTGGAAAAGCTATCAAATACCAGGCACATAGTGCTGCCTCCACAAAAGTGGCCAACAGTACCACCAGCCAAGCCCAGGGTCCCCGAAGGTAGCTGCATAGCCAGTTTGCCCAGTTCATTGGCAGCTCAGACTCCACAAAGATCTCGGCTGCTTGCAGGAAGAGTGTGCTCAGGCAGCCTGTGAGAGGGAGGTGAGCCATTGGTTGTTGTGCAAGGCAGCTGGCAGAGCTTGGTCGTCCTGGGAACAGAAGGACACTGAAGCAGAAGAGACCTAGGCAGATCACGCCAAAGCAGAACAGTGACCCACCTGAGGCCTGAACAAGAGGGCTGTCCCAGTGGTGGACAAAGAGCCCCAGAGCAGCCAGTGCTAGGCCCAGCACCAGGCAAAGCAGCAGGAGTAATGACAGCACAGTTGGCTCCCCCCAAGCCAGAAACTTGGGCCTGCGAGGTAAGCAGGTTGTGCTTTTCTCTGGGGACCACTGGTCCTGGTTACACGGAGTACAGGTGAAGTCATCTGTAGTGGTGAAAAGAGAAGGGCAGTGTGGGGGCTGGTAATGGGAGACAGGACTCGCCAGCCAGCCCCCACAGTCATTGCCTCAACATTAGCCCTGGGGGGGGGGGGCTTGCCAGACTTGTATGCTTCTGTCCTCTAGCCCAGCTGTGCAGGCTATCTAGGGAAGATGGTTCACCTGGATGCTTCCGGTAGCTGCCTGCCTTGCAGTCCACACAGTCATAGCAGCAGGAATGAAAGCCCTTTACTCTGCGCACCTGGCCATCTTCGCACTGTCGGGAACACTGGGAGACTGGCACCTGGACATGGAGCCTTGGGTTAGGATCCCCTTGGCTAGCATTGGCCCAAGACCCACAAACTTCTACCCACCATGCCTTTTGCCTATCTTGTCCTTACCTGGTTATCTGGCCAGTACATTTTAGAGTGCTCTAGCTGAAGGGTGCCATTGAAGGTGCCTACATTATGTAATACAGGTGTAGGGCTCTGCCACACCCACATCTTCAGGTCATATTCCATGTCTACATTCCCGTTAGCATCAAACTGCAGTGTCAAGTCTCGAGCATGGAAACTCATATTGTACATGTTGTCCAGGAGCTGTGGAGTGGAGTCAGGGTAAGGCTGACCCATGAGCCTCTCCAGTCACGACAAGATTTGGCTCTTCCTGGTTTAGTGTTCCTGCAGTAGCAGGCAAAACCCAGAAAAATCCCTACCCTTACCTGCCAGGGTTGAACATGCTCTGATGTGTGGCAATGTGAGACATTGCACTGTAGGGTGTTGTGAAGGGCCTGAGCCACACTGTACACAGCTGCATAAGTTGCAAATATTTGGTGGTGCAACTGCCCAGCTGATAGATTCTGTGACAGCCCAGATGATAGGTTTTGCAGCACGATGTAGTCACATTGTGGACAGCGTTGCCCCATCACATGCTCCTCCAGATCCAGCTCGGCATTCAGTGAGGCACAGAATGTTGGGTCAGCAGCCAGGGCAAGGCGAGTCTCCACATAGTGGGGAAATTCAGGCAGTGGGGCACCCCGCTGCAGAAACCCAAGCACAGTGCCCACACGGGCAATATTGGGAAGTGTCATGACCAGGTCAGAAGTCAGCCAGGACTCACTGGCCACCCATACTTTGGGTGAGAGGCCATGACGGATGCTGTAGCTAAAAAGGGAGGAGACAGCATGGGCAGAGGCAAACAGCACCACCACTTGTACATTACTTTGGTTCACTTGGCGTAGCAGATCCAACACCTTGTTCAACTGTTGGCCACTAATGTCATGTTGTGGCACCAGGCCTTCATGTGCGATGCAGATACCGCGTGCATTGGCTAGACCAGAAAAGATGCTCAGACCTTCCCGGCCATAGTCATCATCACTACCTAGGGCAGCCACCCAGTTCCAGCTGAAATTCTGTAGCAGAGTCACAACCGCCTGCAGCTGCACCCGGTCACTGGGCACTGTGCGGAAGAAGGATGGAAATGTTTCCCGGTCACTTAACCGATCCATGCTGGCGCTATAGCTGACCTGTGGTGATCAAGAAGGACTTCCTGATGTAAGAGGTCAATGGGCACAGTTGGTTGAAGGAACACAAAGGAAGTGGGCTCACTCACCTGTGGCATAAGGAAGAAGCTGAAGAACTTGCCTGTGATAAGGGCAAGCTCTGATGAGTGGGGACCAATGACAGCCAGCACACGGGGTTGGTACTGTGTGTAGTTGCAGTAGGCAGCAATGCTTTGACTGCCCACCTTGGCCATGAACATGAGACTGGGCTTCATGGTGACCACTGGCTCTGAGCATGTGTCAAACAGATCATAGCCCAGTTGCAGCCCAGGGAGCAAGGCAGATCCGTTGTTGATCTCTTCCACAGCCATCTTCATAGCCATGGCCAGGAACAAACCAAGGTGTGAGAACCTTAGGCCACATGGAAATTGCAGGTTGTTACCACCTCATCCCCAGATTGGGAGTTCTACAGATCCAAAGCTGATAAGCTTCAGCTCACTCCCACCCCAGCTGCTAGCCTCCGTACCTGTTACACAGGATGCCATTGGGTTGTGTTCTCTGGTTCAGAGTGGCCTCCTCAGTTGAGCCCAGGGGAAATAGTCCACCTAGTATGTAGTCCCCTTGTGCCTTGAATTGCCGTGACAGACACAAAGAGGCCCCCATCCCAAGCTCCAGGAAAGCAGCCAGGCTGAGGACCAGGATAGCCAAGCCTGGCATGGTAGAAGTTTCCAGCAGTGACAATAGATGGGTGTGCGGGGCTGGAGCCACAGATGTACTGAGCCAAGGGGAGGGAGCAGTGGATTTGTTTAGCAAAATCCCTGCTCTGCTTGGCTGCCAATCCCCAAGGAGCTCCGGTGATATATGCAATATCCCAGGCCTGATGTTTTGTGTATACTTGACTCCGTATCTAATAAACTCTGCCCAAGAGTGATCCAGTAAGCCAACTGTGACCACTGACTGTGGTCTTGTCATCTGCCTATGCCCAAGCCCCTCAGCACCCTTCATTCCTAGAGCAACCTGGCAGACCGTAAAAGGGAAGGTGCAGAAGCATTCAGGATTCCAGGGTTTCTCCTGACTGGAATAAGGAGGCACACGGGCCATATTTGTCAGAGACACCTTTTATCTTCTGAAGGCAGGGGCTGCAGAAATAGTCCCTCAACAACAGCTAGCTAGCTAGGTCTAACCTTCAGATGAGGTAGGGAGAGCTCCAGCTGAATTTCTCGGCCTTCCCAACTTGTCTGGGTCCTGGGGCAAGGCAGACTCATTGAGGGTCCCAGCTGTTCTGCTGAGATTCTGACACCTGGGAGCTGTGGAGCTCCTAGGCCCTCCTGCTGATCTTCAGTGTAAGCACTCCTGCCTTGGCAGGCATGTGGGCATCTCTCTGCAGAGTTCTCATGCTGGTCCATGAAAATGAGCAAAGGCCATAAACAAATAGCTTCCTGCAGCTGCTAGGGCCAGGTGTGTGCCTGTATGCAGTTGACAGTTCCTTCTTAGCCTCTTCCCCTGTTCTGGTTTTATGTCAACTTGATAAAATCTAGAGTTACCTGAAAGGAGCGAACCTCAACTGAGAAAAATGCCTCCATAAGATCTGTCTGTAAGGCATTTTCTTAATTAGTAATTGATGGGGGAAGGCCCAGTCCTATTGTGGTGCAATCCATGGGCTGGTGGTCTTGTGTTCTATTAAGAAAGGAAGCAGACTGAGCAAGCCACTAAGCAGCACCCCTGCATTACCTTTACATCAGCTCCTGCCACCAAGTTCCTACTCTGAGTTCCTATCCTGACTTCCTTTAATATTAAAGTGATATGGAAGTATAACCCATACACACTCTTTTACCCCCAAGTTGCTTTGGTCATAGTTTCATTACAGTAACCCTAGCTAAGCCATCCCCCCTCTTAATCTGGGTGTGAGGGAGCTATTGCTAACACAACAGGTTTCTGGCACCTAAACATAGGGGAAACTATTAACTCTTGTTGGAATGGGTACCCTGGTAATCTCAATGTCATATGGCATCCAGCAGGTGTTATGGAAATGACCTTTGCATTTCCCTGCTACCTGTGAGGATATCCACAAAGCATGTTCACACACAACACCTTGTACACATGAGTCTGTGTGTGGTGCACATATCAGCTATTGTAGTCTTACTTTCTGGAGAATCTCAGCCTTAACTAGCACTATGTGACTTTTGGTTCTTAGCTGGGTATAAGCATGGCCAAACAATGTACAGCCCAAGAAGATGAGGTGTATATACAGTGGAGTACCAAGAAGACACCGCTCATAATGTACCCTCTAGGCTGTTGCCATGAAGAAAGCAGCTCTAGTCTTTCTCCAGCCTTGTCACACAATGCCTGGGTATCTTCAGACCTATTTTCCTACTTAGTCCTTCAGGGTAGGTGATTCAGGTGTTTCTTTCCTCATCTGCAAAATGGAGGTGACGCAGATCTCATAGTGTACGTGTGATTAAGATAAATCAAGGACAGATAGATGGGAATTCCTTCAGTCCTGGCTGCTGGCTGAACAGGTTTCATGATTCATATTGCCCTTTGAGCTCAGGATTGGGGACACATGCTTCAGCCTTATCCCTAGGGTTAGCTCCCTCCCCACCCATATGAGTATTTCCATGTTCTTCCCCCACATAATCAGGCAACTGACACACCTGTGACCCATCCCAGAATGCTATACCCAATCATGTAGGTATAATTTATTTATGTTGGAAATACTACATATATCACAGTTCTTAAGGAAAGAGATATGCCCCAAAGTTTGCATTTACACACATCAGCTATGCTGAGGATACTGTCCTAGGGTTTAACATTAAGACCCAGTAATAAAGTTTAGGGTCTTATACACTGGTTATCAGCCATGCTGGGTATGGCCATCTGTCAGACAAAGGGGCCTAGCCCCTTCCATGAGTCATGTCCTGAGTCATCTGGATACCATAGCAACAGGAGCAGCAGGGCTGGCTAGAGAGAGGTATGGTTTGGCCAGTTAATATTGACATCTTAGAATCTTGGGGGGTGCATGTACTGTAAGAGGCCACCTTCAGAAGGCTGATGGAACTGGACTACAGAAGCTGTGAAACAAGCTGTACTGACCAGGACAGACTTTCCTATAGAAGTCTCAGCTATCGGTTTCATACAATTTCCATTTCCAAGGAGACAAGGGCCCTGTTTGGTGTGTAGAGAGACTAACAAGGAAGCAGATGAAGGGCAGGAAAAGAGCCTTCAGTACTCATGCCACTGCCAGAGGAACTTCATCTTACCCAAGGACATCATTTGAAATATGAAGGGGCCCCAGGCATGTAGGCCCAGGAATGTTTGCCTGGCACCAGTGCCATGTCTGAGGCTCAAGATGGGAGCAGGATACACAATGGCTGGGCATGCTGGTTATGGGGAAGACAGCTCCAGGGTCCTGTGTCCTTATACCATTTCAGATTCTACACAAGAGGTAGAGCAACCTTGGGTTGTTGCAGATACATGACACCCCCAGCCCCCATCTTCTCCATCTGCCATCTGCACTTCAATCAAGCCTCGCTGAACACACACATAACTAAAGCGGAGGGCAAAACTGGAGTTCAACTGTCTCATCCTGGACTGAGAGGATGACCAGCACCCACCTTTCTCGGTTCAGCTGCCCACCACCTTTCTTTTCACAGACTGTGGCCCTCAACAAGTTCAGCTGTCAGGAGTGACAGTAGTACCCAGAAGGCACTGCTGTGGGAGTAGTTCCAGGTTGCCCAAATCCAGTCCTGAGCAGAGGAAGTCTACACAGTATGGTTACCACTACTAGGGCAGGTCTAGCAGAGAATGCTCAGCATAGAGCTTCTGGGAGATGTCATACACACGCTCAATGAAGGGCAGGGCCTCTCCCAGCATCTCCACTGCTTGCTCAGAGGACCCAACATTCATGGCCTCAAGGAAGACCTTGCGTGAGGGCAAGGCACAGAAGGCCACAGTGACAGCTTGCCGTACTATCCAGGAGTGATAGGCAGCCAGTGTGGCATTATAGGCCTCACTGCAGAGTGTGGAGGTACGAGCATCCTCAGAGCTGGTGCGCAGGCCTTCCAGGAACAGCTGTAGCCAGTGCAGAGCACGATGTAGGCGCAGCACAGTCCGGCAGCCCGAGTTAGGGTGTCGTGGACGGGAGTGGCGATCTATGTCCAACAGCTTGTTGCTCACCTCGTAGGCTACCATGGACTGCAAGCTAGTGTAGTGTTCAGCCTGTGGGCTGCTTCTCAAATGCTCCATTATCTGCAGCTTTGAAACCACATCCTTGGAAATGAATGAGAAGACAGCCCCCAGGCTGTTCAGAAACCTGTGAAAGGAAGTATAAATTTGAGGCTCGACCTATACTGGCAGCAATCCTCTAGTACAAGGAAGATACCTTGAACCTGCTTGAGCACTTGTCTGTCTGGTGGCAAGGGCAGGGAAGCTGGATGGAAACAGTCTGCTAGCTGGTCCCATCCTGCTATGCCATGTGGGATGCAGATGTCCCATGTGGACTCTGGCTGGCAAAGCTGCTACCTTCAGCAGCCCCAATAAACACACCTGACAAGTCCCTTCCAGCTGTCCATGTAGTGGTCCAGCAGCACCTCTCCCTCATCAGTGAGACACTGCTTGAAGCTGACCAGGACGACTTTAAGGTTGAAATCTCTCTCTGAGTGATCCATCTTCCAACACAAGCCGAAATAGTTTCACACAGAACTTGTAGTCATCATGCTGGGTTAGCTCATTCTGAGGTTCATTTTCTCAGGAAGTGATTGGGAAGAAGATCTGAAAGAAATAGTGCGGTGCTAAAACCATCTTCTGAGAATCATGGTGAAGTTCTATCCCTTTACCTGAGTGCCTACGCCAGGAACCACAAGCTTTTCCACAAGCCAGTTTGACCCTGCTGTGCCCTTGAATCCTGTACCTACAGACCCTGACATTGCTGCTCCTTGCTCTTAATGCTAGTAATCTGTTCCTGACATGAGACTCCATGGCTGCACTGTTGGCATCTGCTATTGCCTCTTGCATTTTTTCTCTCTTCCTGGAGCATCTGTTTCATACATTAGGGGAATGTTTCTAAAGGGTATAGTCCTGGATCCTGGCCACACCTGGACCTCACTGTATCAGGCCAGCATTCTGATGGGAAGTTGCACCAAAACAAAAACAGAGACTATAAAATAACAAGTGATTCTCACATAAGGGGAAGGGAAGAGGTGGCTAGACAGGTTTTCTCTTCCCTTTTCAGGGTTGTATCCCCAAATTAAAGCAGAGGTTGTGGGTTGGCATCTGCTAGACAGACAGATGGATACTCCTGTTGTTGAAATGGTATGTGTTCCCAAAAAACAGGGTAGCTGGACCAAAGGTCATATCACACACAAAGGATTGCTACAAGTCCTCCCACTAGCTCCAAAGAACATTCTGGAAGTGGTCTAGGATAAAGGCCTCAAGGTAAGGCTGGGCTCTAGATTCTATAGGCATTTTTACAGTCACTCCACAAATCTAGTCCCCACACTTGTTTGTTTTTGTTTATTTTCAGTTGTGGGGACTGAGCCTAAGGGCCTCTTGTATGCTGGACAGGGAATAGCTTAGCCCTGGCTGTCCTGGAGCTCACTCTGTAAATCAGGCTGGCCTTGAACCCATACCTGCCTCCTTGTGTTTGTCTCCCAAGTGCTGGGATTAAAAGTGTGTGCCACCATGTCAGGCAAGACCTTTTACTTTCAATCTTCCTACTTCCTGAGTAGCCACAACTACAGGCTTCCTTTTGTGTTCACATATTGAATGGATAACTCTAAGCACCCAGCCCCTACCTTTCCTGCTATCTTAACAGCTTTGTCTTGGTGTCCAGGACCAACCCTGTGGGGTGTGGCTGCATTACATTTATGCCCAACACTTACCAACAGTTCTGGAGATTCTTGTGTCCCTTAGTACTGGATCCCTGACTTAACCTCTGTACCGGTAGGGCTTCAAAAACCCATCCCCATCCAGTGTGCAACATCTGTGTGCAAGTTCTTTTCTTTCCTTCACACAGTCCTATGTCTCAGTCCTTCAGCTCTGGGAATGTGGTCTGCATATCTCCCCGGTCCATGACTGAGGCTGCCAGAGTGGTGATAGGGCCCCATGGGTTGGACTGGGTGGGTGCCAGTCGAAAGTTCCAGACTTAGGAGATGGGCTCACCTTATGTTTAGGTGTCAAGGACAGCTCTGCCTGGGCCTCAGAAAGACGGCGACGCCCAGAAAACACCCTTCTCTCAGGGCCTGTTTGCTGTCCAGTGGGTAAATAGTCTCTATGGCCCCCCAACAGTTCATTGGCCACCTAACAATCCTGCGGCCAGGCCTTCCTGCCCAGAGCCAGAGCCAGTAGCTAATTAGCCTCTTAGAACTGTCCGCAGTGAACCGGAAAAAACAGGAAGGGAGGGTTGCTCACCAGCTCTCGGACGGTGATGCAGAACACCTCTAAGCCTCCCTCAGAAGATCAAGCTAAACAGGATGGACAGCCGGACGAAGGCCCACAAGCTGGCACACAGCACATACACCTGGGCTTAGCAGTGAGCCAGGGTAGTGCAGAGAAGTCTGCAAAGCTCACCTGAGATGGGTTCCGGTGGTGGGGGAGTGGTGGTCTCTACTCCCGCGGAGGGCAAAGAGTGCAGCAGAGGCCAGAGATGGGGAGGGTTGATCAAAACTACAATTAGGCTGTGGGAGATGATTCTTTGCCCGTTCGTTCCGGTGGTCTACAGAGACGTGGCTCTGCTGCCTGATTCATGTCAGGTAAGGGTCCCCATCCCCATGCTTTCCCCCAAGCTCGGAGCCTGCGGTTGAGCAGAAACCTTGAGCTGCAACCCAAAGCCCAGCCTCTGCCCCGCCCTTCGCTGCCACGCCATCCCAATTGGTTGCTGGTCATCCAATTGGAACTCGACATATCGGCCTGCGTTTCCGGCGCAAGGACAGGAAGGGGGCGTTTTGGCGGTTGCGCCTGCGCGCAGTGTGTGGGTGTCGCGGTGTCTGGGCATCAGGTCTAATCGCGCGCGAGGTCTAAGACTTTCCTGTGGGCGGTGCACGCGAGCCGTGGAAACGTGGTTCGAGACTGCCTCCCTGACGATGCCTGAAATTAGGGTCACTCCCTTGGGTGAGTCCGAGTCCTAAGCATCTTCTGCGGCGTCCGGCTAGTCGGGCGGGTCCTTTCATCTCCTTAGTCTTCTATCAACTGTTCATCCCAAGGAGCGGAAGCCGGAGTAGAACATTTAGGAGCTGTTGCTTCCTTTTCTCTGTCTGGCACAGGGGTCGAAGAGATTTGGGGTTGATTCCTGGTCCTAGAGCTCGATATGCGTTATGGAGACCCACACCACCCTCTGTTCCTCAGCTGCTTAAGGTGGTTGTGAGGTGAAATGAGTCTTGGGCAGGTGTCGCCTGTCAGAGGTGTTGAATCCAGCACAGAGTTCGTCCTGGCGACTTTTCCGTCCCGTATTTGGACTGCTGTTTCAAGACTCCTCTGTATGGGCTTCCTTCTCACTTCTGCCCACACTTCCCCCCAAGCGCTTCTCTTGTTCAGGTTGCTTGCTATCACCCCTCAGATCAGTCTTTGTGTCTGGTCTCTCCCAAATTTTTGAATTCTTTTTTTTTTTTTTCCGAGACAGGGTTTCTTCTGTGTAGCCCTGGCTGTCCTGGAACTCACTCTTTAGACCAGGCCGGCCTCGAACTCAGAAATCCGCCTGCCTCTGCCTCCCAAGTGCTGGGATTAAAGGTGTGCGCCACCACAGCCCGGCCTATCCCGAATTTTTAAAAGTGTATTTGTGCATCGTAGAAAACATAAATCTAGACTTCTAAAAATCCCAGTAGCATAGTATAGTTGTGAAGAAGAAAACAACCGTTTCAAATCTGGGGTTTCAGAACCTCCCAAATGTTGGCTAGAACTGAGAGTCTTTTCAACTCACTGCATCACAGGGCCTTAGCAGAAGCAACTTCTCATACTGACTACCTCCACTATCCCATCTAAATAACTAATTAGCTTACAAGAGCAAGCATATTCATTGACCTGGCTCCCCAACGTCCCCTACCCCCACTGGGAAAGTTCTGTTTTCTGCCACAGTTCTGAATCTTTTTGGCACAGGTATTAAATCTCCACGTAATGTACTCAGTGTCTAATTGCCTTGTCTCCCCTATGGTGTAGTTCTGCTCTATGCAGAGATGTGTGGACAAGGTAGTGTCCTTTGCTTTCTTGTCAGTTTTGTTTTCTCCTTGTCCTTTTTTCCTGGAGTTGTCTCTTTGGGAAGAACATTTGCTAGTGCCCAAGAACTGGGCTTTGTAATTCAAAAATGTATACTTTGGCATCATTCTTGGTAGTCCTGTGATTATGAGTGCCTGTGATGTCTAGTAACCCCTGTAAAGGTGCAGCCATTCTCCCTTCTATAAATTCTTTAAGAGCCTCAGATCCTAGCACAGCTTCAGGACTAAAGATACTATGGGAAAGGATGCTAAAAGCTTTCTCTCAGGGTGCACTCATCTTGAGGGGACAGCAGCAGGCCTGCAGAAGACTCTGAGATCAACAACTCCTCAACCATTGTGGCTGGCTACATAAGGAAAGCAGCTGGGCCATGGCTAGTCACCATGATGTTTGTGGTACTGATGATAGTGGTTGGTGCCTGCAGTTGGCAGGTGGAAACCATAGGATCCAAGATGACAACAAGGCTGATTGTTGTTTTCAGACTGTTGAGGCTTGGACCATGTCTCTCTCCTTATGGATCCAGATCCCAGGAGAGATAACAGACAGCTGAATGGGGGAGATAGCTGTGTCCTGTGTGGTCAGTGTCATGGACTGAACAGCTTGGATGGCTGCTTAGTCATCCAGAGCATGGGAGGAACTCCCATTAAGGCTGAGCTAGGAGGGGTTCAGTGGTATGGGGCCTGTGCTGCCCACTGACCAAAGTGAGCCATCTGTGTTGCAGTTATTGGCCAGTCATGTTTCTTTATGGCTGGCCTAAGGCCACACGGGTTTGGCACCACTCAACACTGGAACTCAGGATTGAGGCCTCAGCCTCTTCAGGAAGAAATCTCAGGGAAGAAAGCCTCATTGGTTTGCAGTCACCGGTAATTTGAGTAAGGTCTGGGGAAACAGCAGTGATGTTCTACAGAGCACTGGCTTATTTCTGTTCAGTGTTGGGGACAACAGCCAGTGCTCAATGCTCTGCTAGCAATTTGTTACACCTTTGAGATGTACAGGAAAGCATGGTGAGGGAAGGCATGTGCCCCTAGCGTAGTGCCTCGTCTCCCCATTGTGCATTTCCCTAACCTGCTGGGGAAAAGAGGGAGGAACCATGGCCTTGTCTCTCACTTGCCCTTCTCTTTGAGTAGGGGCTGGCCAGGATGTAGGCCGCAGCTGCATCTTGGTCTCCATTTCGGGGAAGAATGTCATGTTGGACTGTGGGATGCATATGGGCTACAATGATGATGTGAGTACTGAGGACGGGTGGTCCAGAGGGCAGCAAGGGCTACAACTTACTTTCTAGTCATGTTCTTTCTATCTAGCCATGTGGATCCTGGGGCCTTAGGTGATAAACGGGGCAAGTGGGCAGTAGGAGCATGCCTGGACAGCTCTACTCATGCTGTATGGGTACGAGTGGCCCTGCACACAGTACTTAAAAATTAGGGTCCAGCTGAGATAGACCTCTTAAGGATTCTTGAAGGTGGTCATGATTGGACCCTTTTGGCTTAGGTACTTGCTCAGATAGTAGTTTGTGAGGTCAGCTAGTAGCTTGACCTTTTCATGAGGTTATAAACAGGCAGTGGCCTAGGTGTCACCCACCAGTGTAGAGGGTCTCTGATCCTTTGCTGGGGTTACTACCTGGGATGCACCAGTCTTACTTACAGGAGATCCTGGGTAGCCTTCAGCATTCCAATTTTTCTCTTGTCTCATTATTAGAGGCGCTTTCCTGACTTTTCTTACATCACCCAGAGCGGCCGTCTGACTGACTTTCTGGACTGTGTAATCATCAGGTAGGCTTCTCATGTTTTTGATGGTCCTTCCTTGTACCCCATTACAGATGTCAAAGGCCTTGTGTGCTACCTAAGCTACATTATGGGTCACTCTTGAGGATGGTCATTATCCACTGAGAGCCAGAAAGATGCTTATACCTATTGACTGTGCTCTCACATGTCATAAATTAAAGCCTAACAGGTGCCCCCAGAAGTAGAGACCTGGCCAAGGTAGCTAGTTCCAAGCGTGGGGCCACTCCAGCCTAGATGACTCCCTGAGACTCTTTCCCAGCAGCACCTAGCAACCGTGACTGCACCCTCACCAATTTCTTCCCACTTTACTAAGTACGTCCGAGTCTCTCTGCTTATACTTCCTCTTCTAACCAAACCTCAGTTTTCCTATTCCTTCGCTGTCTCAAGAGTGCTAAGTCCTGCTCACACTGACCATCACTGATGTCTGAGTCAGTTCATGGTCTAGCCTCCAACTGCCACCACCTCAGACTGGTAGAGCTGAGCGAGGAGAGACACTTTCCTTGCTCTTTGGCTGCCATTCTTACATTCTATCCAGATAGACTACCCAAACCCTTCATAGTCCTTGCTGTCACCCACTTTGACTGTAGCACTTCCCTTCAATACCCACCCTGCTGCTGTCAGCTAGAGTGGTCCTGCGGGCCTGAAGCAGCCCATCTGGATGAGCGCTGTACTCGTAGCCCAGGCTCTAGTATTTTGGTCCTTTCTGGACATGTGTCTCCCACTCCCTGCCTGCTATGGTTTCACTGGCCCCATTCTTTCTGCTTAGGGTATTCCTAGGCCTTGCCTGAGCTGTCTCAGTTCTCTCTTGGCTCTACCAGAAAGACTTCCTACTTCCTGACTACCTGACAGATAGCTCTTTTCCTGGTATGGTGTTCCCTGGCCTGCCTTATATTTCCTCACCAGCTTGTCACTGTCTGATTCAGATCTGACTCAGATGGTGTGTGATTGCATGTACTTGTAGGAGGCCATAGACAGCTTCAGGGATATTCCTCTTTAGTCATCATTCCCTTGTTTGTGGTTTTGTTTTGTTTTTCCTTCTGAGACAGGATTTCTTTGTATAGCCTTGTCTGTCCTGTCTTGGAACTCACTCTGTGGACCAGGCTGGCCTTTAACTCACAGAGATCTATCCTGCTTCTGCCTCCCAAGTGCTGGGATTAAAGGCCTGCTTTACAATGCCTTGCTGTTGAGCTGTTGAAGATTTTTTTTAAAAAGATTTATTTTTATTTTATGTATATGAGTGTTTACATGTATGTAATTGTACTGCAAACATGCATGCCTGGTGCCAATGGAGGCCAGAAGTAGGTGCTGGATCCCCTGGAACTGGAAATACGGGGAACTGAACCAGTACTCTCTACAATAACAGCAGGTGCAGGTGCTATTAACTACTAAGTCATATCCCTAGCCCTTTAAAAAAAAACCTTATTTTATGGGTGTTAGGCCTGCATGTATTTCAGTGCACCACTTGCATTCAGTACCCCCAGAGGCCAGAAGATCTCTTTTGAACTAGAGTAACATGATTGCGAACAGCCATGTGGATACTGGCAATTGAGCCGAGGTCCTCTAGAAGAACAGTCAGTGTTCCTAACTTCTGAGCCATCTCTCTAGCCCGTTTTTATTTTAAAATTAATGTATGTGTGTTTGCGTGTGGCTTTGTACCCATGGAGGCCCAAGGCTTTGGATCCCCATAGATCATCATGTAGGTGATGGGAACTGAACTCATGAACTGAAACAGGATTCTCTACCGAAGAGAATGAGTGCTCTAAACCTCTGAGATACCTTTCTACTCCCTGTTTTTCTTTTTCACTTTTTGTAGATAGAGTCTCATGTAGTACAGGCTGGCTTAAACTCCTGATC